AATTAGAATGACTTTAGGCATTGGGCCTAAAAATCAGTAAATATCAGACTAACGAGTAGACTTACATAACGACGCTTAGTACGCACGTGAAAACCTGCAAGGTTATCCAGGGGATAACAAGGAAGAGGAGAAGCCTTTGGCAAAAAAACACCAAAAGAAGACTGAAGACCCCCTAACAACAAGTGAGGCATGCACTGTGAAGAAAAGTGATATAAAGTCAGAAAAATCGGAAATAGCAGGAAACATATTGGAAACATTAATGAATATGTATAAGCATACAGTATACAAGTTTAACTTGAAGGGCTTTGTTTTGTACGTGAGGCAGAGTGGGAAGCCTCCATACCCCAGTTGGTTTTGCTTATGCTTTAATCATACTTAATTACTGGCAAATTATATATATAAATTGTAATTTTTTACTAAATTGTATTATTTTACTAAACTTTATTATTTTATACCGAATTACTATTCAATTTACTAAATTGTATTCATTTTTAATTAAAATGTTATTAACTCAAGGGAACTAGTTGTCAAAATTCTAATTTCATTTATAACAGCAGGACTGCTAATGTCCCATCATGTGTTTCCCTCCTCTCTCCAAATATTTTAGTATTTAATTAGCTGTAAAAATTATTAACATTTATCACACTAAGAGAATTAACATGGTGCAAACTTTTAAATTCCTAGGCACTGAAAGAAGGGCAGATCCTGAAAATTTCTGCTAAAGCTAGTATACAAATTCCATACCAAATATTTGAAAATGAACCTGTGAAAAACGAGGTTCACATATTTTTTTATAGAATTTAGAAGTTTAATAAAAAAGACAATTAGGAGATAAAAATAAAATAAAGCATACAGATACAGCCGGGTGTCTCTGCATTCAGCCAAGAGAACACCCCTACTAACAAAGGATTGTCCCTTAAAAACAGAACCCTACTACATATCCATGAATTCTCATACATATTCATACATTCTCCTTAGGATTTTTGGTGTTCTTCTGTTTAGTTTTCACTTGCCCCCTTTCCAATAGATCAATCTTCTTGGTGCCATTGAGATTTACATTCCCTGATAACAGAAATGCAATAAATTCCTCCTCCAGAACTCTGGTCACAGTGGTCTTCGTCTGGATAAGATAGTTTACAAATGCAGGGGGGTCTCCAGCTATCTTTTTCAGTCTTTGGGTTATACAAACAAAAGTTTTTGTTTTAATACTATGCCATAGCCTAACATATATGTATTATACCACTATTTCTAAGTTTCATCAAGAACAGAAATAAAGGAAACTATATTAATACAGCTAAATTTTCTAATCTTATACATATAACGTTCATTATAATGTTTGCGAAAAGCCAATAATATCATATGCATTTATAACAAACCTATAGCTTCCTAAATCCCCGCATTTGTCAAATTTTGCATCTTCAATGTTATCACACTGTTAAGATTTTACCAAGATAAACTACTGTATTTCATTGCTTTTTTTTTTTTTGCAATGTTTATCAAGGCATCCAAGATTTTACATGGAAAATGTAATGGAAAATGGAAGATACTTTAGAAAACTTGGGCTTTGTTTTCCCACAGAAGATCTGATTAACACTTTTTGGTCCTACTGCAACACAGAGGGAAGGAGACCATTCCAAGACATTTTCTCTGCATCATCCTGGCCAGAACATGAAATACCAATATCTTAGAATGTCTGTGCTCATCAGTAGCTTACCACATCAGTGACAGTGAATTAGAATGACAATACAATTTTTAAGTAAACACAATGTAAAAGGTAAAATACATAGAAAACAGCTCAATTTCTATTCTCATCAAGCTCTTCCTGATCTATTATCCTCAGAGTGCCTTTATCAAAAGACTTATTTTTCTTGCTATTCCTGAATTACATGTTTGCACATTGGAAACTTACTGCATTGGGCTGGAGTTTATCTGTCTCTATCAGTTTGGCCTGCTCCAGGAGTGGGTCACACCCCAGGATCAGGATGACCTGAGGTGTGACTAGAGAACTTGCTCTACGGCTTTTTGGCTGTCAGTCTGTGCTCTGAGGAGACAACAATGACGGGGAGGTCTTTTGCATGGGAGAGTAGAGGATTTATTGCTCTGGAGAATCTTGGGGGCAAAAGAAAATGCAAGTGGGCAACAGCTGAAACAAGGAGGCGGTTCAAAGGGAGGGTACAAAGCACCAGCTAATCAGAGATATTCTGGGGAGGGTAAAAGGCAGGGTTCACAAAATCATCATCCAGTGAGGGAGGTAGGGGGGAAAGTTGGGTCACATGGACTAATCAAGCGTCAAAGTTTAGGGGATTTCCGAAGTGGAATTCCAGGCATGTGGTGGGCCTAGGATAGGATTGACAGGACACTCAGGGTAGACTGACAATGTGGGGTGGGAGGGTCTCATTTGGACCAAACCATCAACTTGGGCAATAACAGAACATACCATTAACAAGAAACACACTGCAACAGAAACTGCTATGATGTTTTGAGCATTACTGCAGTAACTAAATTAAACAGCTGAAAGCTAAGCAATTTATAGAATATTTACTCATTGTGTTTGGCTAACACGGATGTAATTCCAAAGCCTAATGAGACAAACATTTTTATTAAATATGCACTTTCTTTTCCCTTTGGAAGAAATGTCACCATTATTTTGAAAATCTGATTTTTTCTGGAAATCCAGAACCACGTTCAGGAAGAAAAACAAGATACTAATTTGAGAGGGGACAGGAAAGAGGAAAGCAACTCTGAGGAGGGTGTGGCTGATGTGGCAGAATAATGTAATATTGGGGGACAAGGTAAAATAAAGCAATATTATTATATTAAAAGACAAAGAAATAAATTTTTGGTATTGCCATATAACTTGCAACTTTTGCCATCCAAATTCAAAAGTTTAGTAATTTCTTAAAGGACTATTTGGCTAAGTTAAAAACTTAGGAGACCAGTGAATACAGTGAAAATTTACTTAAAACCTAAAACCAAAATTTCTTAAGCACATTATTTATTAAAATACCATCCTATTTTTTTCATATAACCATTTAAAAAATAAGTTTAATAAGTGTGAAAAGCATCCTTTGATTATTTATTGGGCCAAATTGACTTTTTTTCCAAATTAAGCTGATTTCATCTGGAATAACAGCTACTTAAGCAAGGCAAAATTTTGTCCTATAGACACAAACACATGAAAGAATATGAAAAAAGTGGTGGGTTTGGAGCTTTGTGCATTTTGCAGATGTTCAGTTAGTACCAGCTCTGATTCCGAGCATCTGGAAGCAAAAAATAGAACTATTCAATGCGAAAAGACACACTGGCTTACACCATGAGGTCTAAAAGTTACTGGGAAAGGGAAGTAAAGTTTTTGACCAGTCTTTAACAAAATATGCACTTAGTGTGCACATGTGTAGGGAGAAGAAAATACCTGCCTGTGTTGCTGTAGGTCTGTTAGCTGAACGTAAGTTTATCAAAATCAAACTGTACATAGTTAAGGAGGAAGAGAAGTGATAAAGACATGTCTGTGAGTGGACCTGATTGCTCACAGAGTCGGTGTAGTCTCTATCCTTCAAGGCTGTAAAGCCCAAGCTGGATAAAGTGACATGGTTTGGTCCCACAGATGATTCTGATTTGAGCAAGACATTGGACCACAGTCCTCCTAAGGGCATTTACATCCTGAGTTACTCTGTGTTTCTATGATCCTTGTTTAACCTTACTGATTTTGGATTGAATACATAGCCTATGTTGAGGTTAAAATATATGTCAATTAGTAACAGAATAGAATAAGAATAGAACAGAACAGTTGGAAAGGACCCACAATGACCATTTAGTTTAACTGCCTGACTGCTTCAGGGCTGACCAAATTTCTAGCCCATTATGAAGGACATAATCTAGATGCCTGTTTTTAAGGCACTGACAGGTTCAGGGTATCAACCACCTCTCTAGAAAGCCTGTGCTAGGGTTTGACCACCCTTGTCATTCCTAATGTCCAGTCAGAACCTGTCCTGATGCAGCTTTGAACCATTCCCACACACCCTGTTGCTGAATTGCAGGGAGAAGAGCTCAGCACCTCCTTCCCCACTTTCCCTCCTCTGGGAGCTGAACACAGCAGTGATGTTGCCCCTCAGCCTCCTTCTCTCCAAACCCCACCACGCCTTGCAGGACAGACTTTCCAGCCATTCTACCTGCCTGGCTGCCTTCTGGATGTATTCAGGTGCCTTAGCATTGTTCTTAATTTTTGTGGCCCAGAACTGCATACAGTTTTACTCTCTCATAACTAATACGGAAGCTAGAAAAGGCAGGAACCTCCCAGGTATTTGCTTTTTTCATTCCATTCCGTTTCAAATACAATGTCATTTCAGTCTTTTGAATTCCCTTGGTTGAATCTTCTCCTTTGTTTTCTTTTCTGTTTTTCAGTATTTGTAACACTACATGTTCTGAGCAAGTACTCTTTAAAAATGTCTACAGACTCAGTTTAAATTCATAAAAAGATGGAACTACTTTTCATAGTAGCCTTTTAAAATAATTTATGGAAGTTTTACATATAATATTTTAAATCTAAATATAGTCCCAGCCATCACCCAAAAGAGAAAAAGCTATCAGGAGTCTGAAGACAAATAAGACAGGACGTCTGAATTGACTTATACTCAGATTTGAAAAGATTCACATAGTTTTAGTACTTGTTTTAGTATACAACAAGTAACAACTTTATTAAATAAAGGAGCAGTTATTCCTTCTTCTGGAGAGATGAAACAGGAGATTTAGTAAGACAGCTGCGACCAGACCAAAAAAGCTTAGTTGGAAGCAAAGATAATTCATTATATGTTGTAGTGGGCTTTTTAGTTTGCCAGCAAGGTTAGAGGCTTTCGTGTTTGTTTTTTTCCCTCGCTGCCGCGATTGAAGCTTCTGCTGGGTTCTCCCCGCCCCTCCCCCCTCTCCGGCTGCTGCGGTTGTGCCTGCCGCCCCCGCTGCCTGCGGGCCCGCGCCTCCCTCGGTCTCATTGTGTTTTCCCCCACCTTGCGCCTTACCCCGCAGCGGGCCCCGGCCCGCGAGACCCCAGGCTCCGGCTTCAGCTCGTGTTTCTCCCCGCACTGTGTCCGCCTCCGTTTTCCCTCCGGGCGGCCCGCGCGGCCGAGGGAGACCTGCTCCTTTCTTGTCGGGGCCCCGGCGGGCGCCGCCGCTGGACATCCGCTTTTTTTGTTACCCCGGCCCCGGCGCCGTGTCTCCGCCGCTTTTGCCGGTGTGTCTCCGGTTTCTCGTGTTCCAGCGGCAGAGCCTCAGGCAGCGCGATCTCTCCCCCTCTCCTCCACCCCGTCTTGCAAAAACCCCTAACCCTCGGAAATTAACTAGAGAAATCCCATGCCCGTTACCGCTTATCTTCACCTGTTGGTATATTATTAGTAGAAAGTTTGTGTGCCCGCCAGCTGTGATTTTTAACTGGTTCTCACAATTCCCAATCCCCCGAGGCGTTAACACTTTAAAAGGAGACGGTCAGACCCCCCGTCCTTTGTCTTTTCTCCTGGATTTCTCCTTACAGAATAAATTTGTGAACTGCAAATCAGAAGAGAGTCCTCCCCTCACTCCTTCGCCTGATCCCAAAGACGAGTGTTCAAAGAAGGGCTGAAAAGCTCAAACACGAACTGGGGCTAAAACAGTAGCCTCGGTTCAGGCCCCGCCTGGCCCGAGCCAGAGAGAAAAAGAAAACTTATCTGAGCTAGCCCGGGAAATCTCTGGCCCGCGTCAATAATAGAACTATTCTGGATCTGCTGCAAAATGCATGTCACCTAATTACCTTGTTTTCCCTTGTCAGTGACTTATCTCTTTGACAGAACATTCTGTAAATTCTAAATTTCAGAACTCTGGATTAGAAGTCTGTTCGTGTATACTACATTCTATATATACACAGTGGCAACTTTTTAATCCAGTCTATTTCTATTTTTTTTAAACAAGTCTGCTTTAGAACTGGTTTTCTATCAAGGCAGAATTTAAGCTTCCTGTAAGGTCTTTTCTGCAGTAGCTTCTACCTTTTATAATATGGCTGTTCTCTGTAGTTAGTGCATTCTCCTCCTCCTAGGCCCATATTTGATGCCATTCCCACACTCACACATTCTCTTTTTTAGAGCTAAAATATTTGACCTGCTTTTTTTATTCAGCATCTGTTTTTCACAGTAATACACTCTGGACTGCTTTGGTGTTAAGCCAGCTTCTGTATTTCAGAGCACAAGATGGTATTTTTAAGGTTAAGAGGGGGAATCAAAAAATTAGCACTTAAAAATGCTTAATGAAATTTGTCCTCACAAAAGCAAGCAAAATGAAGACTGTTAATTAGAAAATATAAAAGAAATATGAACTACTACTAGAAGGTACACTTGTTTACTTACACTGCTTTTTGCAGAATTTACTTTTTGGAAAAGTTTTTGTTATTTTGTTTTTCTTTAGTAAGTTACTTGTGGGACTATCAAAAATACAGTTGCTGTAAATTGATTAAGAAAAAAAGCAGGAAATATTAAGGAATATTATGCTTCTGTCTGTGTCAGGTGACAGGAAGTAGTCTTAAACCCCTATGTTCTGACACTTGTCTATTGCACTGAAATAGCCTTTAAAAATCTTTGTTACATCCCTTCTGCCATTATACTTTGAACTGTTTTTGATGCTGTTGTTCAAAGTATGATTATTTTTGATATATTATTCTATAATAATTATTTCTTTTATGTATACCTCCCTAGGCTTGTTAATTTGGATTTCTACAAAATTAAACTTTGGAACCACATCTACTTTCCCTTAACAGCTTCTGTGTGCTTGGATAATTACATAACTGAAATTTATTTATTATCATAAAGAAACATTAAAAAGGATTTAAATTAATTTTGCAAGTTTTCACACACATTTTTGTGGTTGGTCTATTTTGTAATGATGCTTCATTTTTGAAGAAATGCTAAGCTAAATCATCGCTTGAATTACATTGCAGGTTGGCAATATTTTGGGAGTCACAGTCATATACTGAACACTGGTTTTTGAAACCATATTCTTTGACCTCTGTCAAATCTGGTTGGAGTGGGTTGTATAGTTCAAAAAGTTTAAGGTGAGAGAGAGTGGTATTGCATAGAGACGCTGAATTAAAAATAGATTCAAATCTGTGCAGTGCACATTATGTCCTATTGTCAGTCTCAACAGGAAGTAGCAGAGCACTCACACTGGTTCTGTGTTTGATGTTACCATTCTGGAACATGACACTGCAGAACGTGTGACTGCCACTGATCTATTTGAGGAGTGATTTCAGTATAAAATTATACTGTCTTTACTTTCATGCCTCATCCTTACCACCAAGAATTATTTTGGCTTATTTGTAAATTAATGGCTTATATGTAAATTGTTTTCCACTGAGATTACTTTTTCAGCTACTCACTATACTTCACAGTGCTTTTAAAAGAAAAAACAATAGAGAGAAGTTGCCAGTAACCTTGGTTTTATTTAGGAGCACATAAAAAAATTTATGCCGCAGTTTTGGTTGATTGGAATGATATACTTAAATTTTTAGTTTTGTTTTTTATACAGTAAAGAAGTGTATATTCAGTTGTATGCAAGACCAACATTGTCAGCAACACAATTACACTACAGTAAATGAAATGCTTGAAGTATATAGCTGCGATACCCTTCATAATTTTGGTATTTAACCAGCATTGTTAGAAATAGTCTGCTGAAGCCATTTCATATATGGCAAACACTGAAAAAAGACCCTGTGACAAAGTGTATGTAACTATAGTTGCACTGGCTCTGGAGACAAGTAAGAGCCCTACTTAAACGTTTTACTCATAAGCTATGTCTTCTGCAGCTGAAACATGGTAAGAAGTACCTAACTTGTAGTTATGAAGTCCATTCTTACTGCTAAGCCACTTGAACTTAAAGAACTAGTCTATATTTTCATACATTTGGGATACTCATAACCCATTAATGTTTCATGCCACAGAAAAAAATTACAATTTCTTAGACTGGATAATTATTCTAAATAACACCACAAAGCCACATTCCACCAATTTAGAAATGCTTCTTACCTCTCTTATAAAATGTTTGGTTTTTTTTCCTTTTTTGTTTGTTTGCTTTGTGAGGTTTTTTCCTGGTTTTTTGGGTGTTCTTTTCATTTGTTTGGTTTTAAGGGGGTCGGCTGTTTTGTTGTTTGTTTACTGGTGTTTTTTTGTTGGTTTGTTCGGATTTTTTGAGGTTTTTGTTTTGAGAGCTGCTGTGAACCACCTATATCAGAAGGAGGGAGGTATGAAAATTCCCAGGCCATTATGAATCCTGAGTATTTTGGAACAGTATGCACTAAGTTCTGGTAGTCCACAGTCTCTCTCTGGTGAAAGGATGATAATAAAGCACAAATGGAATATTTACAATTTTTAGAATAAACCTAGTAGCAGACTCGCTGTAGTCATATGTCTTTCTACAAAACCTGCTTTTTAATATCACCTTTTTCTAGAAAGATATGTCAAGGAAAAGTGTTTTTTTAGTCAGCAAAATAAGGTTTTGATAAAAACATATAAAAGACAGTTTTATCTGCTGGATGATATATAGGCACCTGTATACAAGCATGTGTACTGAATAATAAAAGCGAAAGTAGATTTGAATGTTACAGGTCCAATGTAAACAGAAAAAAAGAAGTAGATAGAAGTGCTGATACATGAACTCACTCCATCATGCTTAATTATTGCAGCATAATTACAGAGTAATTAAAATGCAGAAAATATCTGCTTATCTCCAAAACAGGGAAAAGAGATCTCTTTGGAAATGTAGTTAAATTTTTAAAAAGTCAAGATGTGTGTTACATTTCAGCACATAGAAGAAATTCACAGGGAGATTATAAACTCCTGAAAATAGAAGTTTATGATGACAACAGACAGTGCCGTCATTACAGTGACATCAACAGAGCCACAGTAACACATATGATATTTTTTTGAACAGGTGTACAGTAGGTATTTGAAGACACAGAAAAGGTTCATGTGCAGCTTTTCCATTAAAAGGTGTGCAGTTCATCAAACTGGTAAGTATATTTCCTGAAATGTTTTCGAAAATGAGAAAAACACTTGACCTAAATATGGTGTACACTAGTTAACCATGTATAAAGATTCTTAAGTGCACTACGAATTGCAGATCCAGACATGAATGGTTTTTGACAGTTCAGTAATTTGCTTGAATGCACACTAAAGAACCATTTAAGAAGATGTTTCCAGTTTTGTCTGATCATTTTTTCTCAGGAGTTTCGCCACAAAGTTCTGCAGCTAATGAGGCCTCTTCAAGAGATGATTTAATATTAGATACATTTACAGGACATCCACGGGTAGCTGTATAGATGGAGAGAAAAGAAATATTACATTTGTCTTAATAGCCATATATCCATACTAAAAAGCATCGAAGGCAAGAAAATGCATGTTATCTAGCACAGAAACAAATAAGCTACACTATCAAATGGTGTATGAAATCCAAGTGAAATTTGGTGTCTAAACAGCACAAACATCCAAAAGCAGACAGTGCAGCTGGCCAACAGTTCAGACTGAACATACTAATGACTGAATGCATCACCATGTTATTGGTAGCTTTAGTCAGAACAGAGTCACAGAGCTCTACATTAGGTTTCAGAAAACATCTTAGAAATTCAGCCATTTAAATAAATGAATTTACTTTGTCTTACTTGAAGATAGCTGCCATACATCAGAGCAAAAGCTCATGAACTTCAGGCCTTAGAAAATGAAACAATTCAGAGAACTGGAGAAAGTAACTATTAACACCATTTTACTGTTAAAGCTATTTATGCAATGCTACCGAGTTCTCACTGACCCACAAAATTTTTCTACTTAGGCAGGGAATGTTAAGAAACAGCTGCCTTACTGAGTCATGTAATATGTAAGGAAGAATTATAGTGCTGAAAATAATCAAGTTAGTCATTCTGCTTTTGACAGAATTTACTTACATAGGGTTAGTTTCTCTACTGCTAGCCTTTCAGGCAAAGTTTCAAGTGGAGTTGGTTGAATTTTTGCAGGGGTAAATGTATTTAAAGAAATTTTTCTTCCTGAAAGGGGCATCATGTAAATTGGAGAAGCTGAAATTGTGGGGAAAAAAACCATTAACAATAAAAATATTCTCACCTAAACCAGATGTCAAAAACTGTAGCCACAGGACTGTGTATTCATGCAGCAAAAGAGATACCACATTTATACAACCAGCTGCTCAGCTACCAATTTTTGACTCTAGTGTTAAAACTTCACAACATAAAAGACAAGTCTTAAAATCTTTTTTTTTAACCACAGAAAGCAACACAGTAAGTTCATGCTGTTACAGCAGAATTTCAGTAACAGGTGCCTTGCCAGAAGATTAGCAAAAGCTTTAGTGTTATTTCTCATAGGTTATGAAGATTGCACCTGAATAGGCTTTAAGTCCAACACATCTATGAAAAGTGTACATAATGCACTATTTCTAGACAACCTCCAAATGGTACAGAAAACCAACTAAATATCTATGACTTTAATTGTATCAGGTCTATTTTCCAACCACTCGTTGGCAGAAAGGTGACAATCATATGCTAGGAGTGTGACACGTTTTGTTTTTCTGTATTTCTTCATCTTGTATACTCTGAATTCTGAACTGATGTTGAAGACACACAAAATTCCTTACCAGTATAAAAAGACATTTTTTAAGTAACTGAGAATTTTCATATACTTGTAAGCCTCTCTGAGCTCTTTCTCACTAACATAAATTTTCTTAAATCGATTATATTCTTTCGCAAATATAGGAGGCATGTCCTATCAAATAAGCTGTTGATTAAAATGTAAACTGTATAAAATAATGGGGGGGAAAAAGGAAAAGTCATGTAGCAGAAAAAAGGGACAAGTCCAAACAGGTTGTATCCAGGTCCAAACTGTTGTATCAGAACTGGCAAGTACAAGTTTCCTGATCAAAGCATGAGCCTTTAGACACTTCCTTAGGAAAAATGATTTTCAATCACCTGACACATTTATTTATAAGCATCCTATTATGTGGTAAATCTGACCTAACTGAAACCATTTCCAAAAATACAGCAGTAGAATCACAATGGGAAATCACTTCCCCAGACACATGCACATGGATAGAATTCAGCAGTATTTCCATTCAAGATCACCTAAACTTTAGATGTGCAGCACAAACTGTTAAAAAATTGCAAAGCACTCTACAGGTGATACCCTAGGTAATATTAAAAGAAACAGGAAATACAAAGTTTTAAGTATAAATGCAAGACTGTTCTGCTGATGTTACTGCCAGTACAACAGTACAACAGTATAAAGCTGGGAATACTGCATGCTCCCTGAAAAGCATTACCTGTAATTCAGATGAGTGTGGACAGTACAGAGAAGTCAATGTAATAATAAAGGAAGTAAACTAACTATGATTTCATTAAATCCTTAATTTACTACCTCAGCCACCACAGACATTACTTCAGTGAATTATACATGTCCGTACCCACAGAAGGATAGTGCAAAATGTGAAATTATCATTTACGTATGTTTTCATTTTCTTCAAAAGCAGTATCCTTTGTTTACTTGTTAGCTGCAAAGCACTGCAAAGATTAACTATACAATAGTTAAGAATTTAAAATTAACATTATTACGAACTATAGCCAGTACATGTCTCCTGTAGATTCTCCCTTGATGGAGCAGCAACGGAAGCAAGAAATTCATCCACCTGCTTCAGAGACAAGGAATTGTGTAGAGTTTCCAAAGGGCAAATAGAAGGCACCATGGAATACAGTTCAAAACCTAAAAGAAAAAATAATAAAAAAAGAGATTTCCAAACATAAGACAGGATTTAAGCTACTGCATTCATGCATGATTAGAAGTGCTTAGTTTACATTAGCACACTCAGGCATAAGTCTCTTGAAATCATGGAAATTAAATATTACAGGGGTTGGAACAAGATTAGCCGATTTCCAGCTAAACATACTGTGAAACATACCATGGGATACAACTCCCCTGTACACATGAAGTATATGTGTGCACATAAATTTTTCAAACATGAGAACTATCTTCTCCTCCCAAATAAGTTAATGAAAAATAATTTTCCTTTAAGATAAATTTAGCAGATAACTGAAAAAAAAAAAGGTCAGGAAAAGGTATGATTTTTTCTACTCATTTTGATACCTGGCACAAGACTAAACAGGTAACTTATTCATGCAAGAAAGTATACTATTTTGTTAGCAGACAAGACCTAAAAATGCTGTATCTTCCAAGAAATAAATTTGCAGAATTCATGTTCTATCATCTTCAGTATTCTGTGAAAACAAACTGTTGCCTTTAATATCAAAGGAAAGCCACTGTTAGCATTTTTATACCTTAAGGTTACATGGTTTTACTTTCTGAGACAGATATACACCTACCTTTATGCATTTAAAAACAGTATTGAAAAACTAGAAGTTTCATATTAGAACAGGTAAGTAAAGCAACCCAAGAATCTAAAGATTTATTGGACTTTGCTTTTCTATGTTAGTATTGATCATACACTAACCATGCATATCCACATTACTAAAACACTAAAAAGCATTTAAACATCTTAGCTAAAAAAGATTCTCAGTCCTCTGAAGTGATTCAGGTTTGGTAACTCAGTAAACGGTTTTTCATCCAGTTGCATTTCAGAAGAGGAAAATATGTCCATTAGTGTTTTCAACATACCGCTGTAACATTATAACTTGGCAATTCAATACTGTAAATTTCTTCTAAGACAATTAAATGAAGAAGCAATAGTGAATGCAATAATGTTTAGAATTTCAGTTCAAGGTACATTTATTAGAAGCAACATTATGACTGTGAACTGTTATTTCCCATAAAATAATATGAAACAATGTTCCTGTGATATCCAATGTTGCCCATTCACTCCCCATTAGTACTTAGCATAAAGAAGAAATTCAACAAGATTTCAACCCCCAAATGTCTATGCTTATGTTTAGATCCACCTTAGTCATATTCAAATTGTGGGGACCATTGCTACCAATATTCAAAGCAACTGAGGTGTACTTATGTCATCTTCACTTAAATTATAAACAAATTGTTTATAAACTTATATACAAAATTATAAACAAATTGTTACACTTCATGAAGACTTAGGTTTTGTGTCCAAAAAAGCCACCACCATACTATATAATTTCTATTCTCCTATGAAGTCAGTAGTTAACCTTCAGTGTTAGCACTAAGATGCTTGCCATACATATTAATATCCTAAATAACTATATCCATGCATGTAAAGCGCAAACCCTTTTGTTGCCTTACAGTAAAATCTAAGATTTCTCTTTACCCTGACAGAAATGTCACTATCACTTGAATGAAAATTTATTTTTCTAATTTTGCAATTAATGAAGTGGGACAAAGTCAGGTTAACTTTTTAGTTACTATTATTGTAATAGTGCATGTCATAGAGAACCAGAAAGGAATTCCAAAATGCACTCATGCCCTTTAAAAGAAAAAAGAGAAGAAATAAAATTTTCTTATTCCCCTCCAAATTTTTTGTTTTCCACTGTCAATCGGAATTGTCATATCCCAGCAGATTGTAGTATCTTTATGTCTAAGGGATATGGCTTAAAACATAATCTGGAAATCTATGTGTGGTATTTTATTTAAATGTTTTCTGATAAGTATTTTGTGATGTTATAAGGAATAAAATTTAAATTTTATGATGAAGAAGCCCAACAGTATCCCTTTAAGAAGGCAATTTCCTGTACATTAACAGCCTTTGATTTTTGCCTGTATAAAGCATCAAAACGCAAGACAATGAAAGGGTTAACGCAGCATCTCAAAAAGCCACCCTGCTTCTTAAGATTCAAAAGCTGTAGAGACATACCACTGGAGCCTAGAAATTCCACAGAGGAAATGGACCAGCACCTAAAGAGGTGTAGGTGTTCTGCAGGGGCCCAGAAAATAAGGTATAGCACTTTCAGAAGATACTTGTTTCACCATGTTCCTTGAACTAAAGATGGGGGGGGGGGGGGGGGG